TTAGCCCTTAATGACACACCCGCTAAAACAAACAGATACTATACACGTTCACCATTTTTTGCCTGTCATCTCTGTATGTGGCTCTTATCCTTTCATAAGTGTTTGATTAATGCAGACTAATGACATACTGACAACACACACGCTCTCCACCAGCTCTGGCAGAATGTCGCTTTGCTGAACATGTAGCATTAAATATCTATTTAGAGAGAATATGAGTGTGTCTGTGTGAGAGAGAAGGAAAGTTATTTATAAAGACAAGTTTCATCTCATAATGAAAGATGCTGCTTCCTGTTATCTTTCTTTTTTAACCATTGTCACTGTCTAAACTCTGTTCCCGTCAGAGCTAACCTGGGTCGAACCACTTAAACTTGACAGTGTGTAATCTTTTGGGGTGATTCAGAGGGCTGCTGCTGACTGCTAGAGAAACAAAAGAGCCTTTGACGTTACTGAGCTGTATTACAGTCACACAGATTAGGACGCGTCTGACAAAGCTGCAGTCAACAATTCTGTGACCTCTATTCATAATGGATTATACAGATGTGTGACAAAGGAAAACCTTGAACAAATGAGTGGAAAATTAAAAAATGATTAATCTCCTTATTATTTTCTTGAGTATTTCATTTTTTTAATGTAAAAAAATAAGGAACAGTGGCCATTTTGACTTTCCAGAGTCAAAGGTGGCGTCTCTAGGTTACTGAATAGCTCAGTGAAATGTGTTGGACACAACGAGGGAAGGTGTTTTGGAGGAGGAGACCTGAAGCTGCTCTGGAGACACGTAACTAAGAAGTCTGTTCTTTTAGATTCTCTCGCTTCTGGATCCTAAAAGCTGTTAAAGAACTAACTAACTAACTACATACCGCACATTACTGAACGCTTTGTTTTCCACATTTATAGGGTAAAACTCAAGTAGCCTATGTTAAGTTACTGCTAAGGCCATAGTTATTTGAGTGGGGGGGGGGGGGATGTTGGTGGGGGTGTAAGGTGAGCAGCATATTTATAACTTTCCAGAGTTGAAAAGTCCTGTGTGTGAGCATTGCACAACGCTATGCTGTGTTTTGGCTTCAAACACACAAGTCCGTTTCTCTAACCGGACGTCGTGTGTCGTATTTCATCATCTGAGTGGTGCACGAGCCAGCACAGCCCCTTGTGTTGTTTTGACACAGGGAAACGTCTGTATGAATCCAGCCCTGTGCAAACAAAACCAGCGCCCTGCTGTTGGCACTTCACATTAAAAACTCTCCACTGGTAAACCAGCAGGGATGCTTTTATTGTGAAGGTGTGTTTATCACAGAGTTCTCAAAAATCATTAGCAGTGATATTCGTAATCTTTGTCTTTACAAATCCTCAAACAGTGACTTCTTTGTTATCAGCTGAGTTAATGTAATGCCATTTGGAAAAATGGGTTTGTCTCAAAAGTTATTACTCACTTTTATAGTTTTACAATGTTTAAAGCAAAAAGCTTTAACCTAAAAAAGGGGTTGGGGAATAAATCAGAACATGAAGAGCAGCCAGAAAACTGTTATTTTACTGGTATGACATGAAAAAATATTTTAAATACACATTGAATAATGGATCTACTTGGTTCATAATTAGTGAATATTTAATGCCTAATGAGATACTTGTAAACGTCATCTTCTTAATACATAAATGAGTAATCTAATTATCTTAGAATCAGCCGTATGGGCCAGGTTTGTTGAACAGACGAGGAATTTGACTCTGGTACACAATGTGTGTGTATATACAATGTTCTTCCATAAGGCAACAAGTAAACAAGACTGAAAAATAAATCAATACATAGAAATAAATACTTAGAAATATATATATAGCCACAGTTTAGATGGAGCTTTTCAGATTAATATCTACAAAAGAATATTTACAAGGCAGTGCACTGCGGGTTGTCGTTCTGTTATACAGTGTATGGATTAGGTGTTAATCAGAGTGACGGCCCAGGGGAAGAAACTGGCCTTGTGTCTTGTTGTTGGCCTATAGTGACCTGTAGCGCGGTCCAGAGGGGAGGAGCTCAAACAGTTTGTGTCCAGGGTGTGAGGGGCCTATACCATCTATAATTAATGCCTTCATTCACAATAACATCACCAACTATTTGTGTGGTAATGTACAACAAACATTAGTATGATGAGGTTTGTAGACATGCATTTTCATTTCTTTGTTGTCTTATAGTGATACTGACTTGACTTCACGTTAGCGAACAGGCAGATAATTACTAAACACAGAGACGGCTCTGTGCTGCTTCGTTTAAGATGGAAAAACATCGCAATGTGTGGAAGATTTAAACAATCTTTAAAAAGAAGTTCTGTTTTAAAAAGAACTTTCCAGAAACCTTTTATAAGAAATCATTAAATTTATCTGCGTTTCAAGGGGTTAATTGTAGCGATAAACATTTATGGATTTGATTGATCATCAGAATCAGCAGCTCCACTCTTCCTCATGGTGTTGTACAGTGAGTTTGAACTTATAGTTTCCAACTCAAGTAACAACCTTATTCTCTTTCTGTGCTCTCATAGCGTTGTTTCCTGCTGCACAAGGCGTCTCTTAAAGTTCACTGCAAACACTTAATTCTACAGATCCTTCCACTTATGGGGCATGTGGTACAGCTAATGTAAAAATATCCTGTGACCTCACACTTTAAGTACTGTGTCTATATAAGATCAGTGGGAAGAGGTAATTAGGCAGTTTTTGCAGTAGAGCCTTATAGATAAATAACATACAGTGCAGCTGCCTTCCATTGATTTGAAGGCCATCAAAGCACAGTGCTGAGTGAAGACTTAATCTCCTGTGAGGAAACACAATGTGAGACACAGTCAAGAGCCTTTAAGGTGGAGGAAGAGGCATGCACACAGCATCGCCATAATCAAGAGTGGACATAATCTTGTACGGTGGCCATCTGACTAGCAAAGGAACCTTGACCTTTAATTCATTTGAGGTTTACAGATAATATATGTGTACCTAATAAAAGGGGAGTCTTAACTTTTAAGGTCCCTCAGTGATGCAGCCTGTGAAAAAACTTTTCAGCTTGGTGACACTGCAGTGTTTCCACTCCCCTTGTAGATTAGGTTCTAAATATTGCACTAACAGGACTGTGGTTCTTTTTATAAATATCCTGTCATTCTTTATAAAGCTGTAAGGAGCATTGACCCTTAGGTCACCCATGTTTGAATGTCAAACAGCTGTCAGTTTAACTGCTCGACTACCACCAACCTAAGCAGTAACTCGTGTCCCTCGACACAAACCACCACAGGGCACCGACAGCAGTGCTCCTCTAACAGGCTGCGATGCTGCTCATGTGTGTCCCTGACAGAACACCAACCAGTGAAAAATGGAGGGCGTCCTTTGACGTGTACTTACATAATCTGTTGTGATGGGGGTCACTTTGTCCATGCCCACACACACATTTGTGTAGCTATCTCTGTGAGGATGCTCACTGACATAATCCATTCTATAACCCCTAACCCTTAGTTTACCCATCACAACTAAATGTCTAACCATAATCCTTACCCCATCTCTAAGCTAAACTAATTCCATCTTTAACCCTAAAACCAGTTTGAACCATCAGATGTTCTTTGTAGTTGTGAGGACTGGCCAAAATGTCCTCACTTTCAATAAAAGCCAAACCGGTCCTCACAGTGCCACACAACACACACGCTAACCAAGCGGAGATCTCCCTCTCATTGGTGTATTGTCCCCTGTTTGATACTGATTGGTTCTCAGAGCTGCGGAGCATTAGTCCCGACCTCTGGCTCTTCATCAGCACGACAGGGTGTCTGTGAATGCAATTTCCCTGTTGCTGTACTAAATGATTTTACTGCGCTTATAGCCTTTACCATGTATTTCCTGTAATAATATTAACTGTTTTTACAGTTTCACAGTTGCTTCTATTCAAAGGCACACTCCAGTCTTCAGCCGTTATTCAGTGGGTTTAACTCACAGTATAGCTGTGCACCTGCACACGGAGCGAGGGCAGGAGAGTGAGGATTTATAGATTTACTCAGTTGTAGGAGGAACAGTAAACTGCTCGACAGATTTAATTTTAGGGTATGTGAAGGTGTACATTTTTTTTTCTAGTGACTTCTCATTTTTGTGCGACAGTCTGAGCTATCTTTGATCTGAGTGTCACTGATATACTGATATTTTTGCCACTGTAGGTTTAATGGGTGACATGTGACTTGTCCCTTAATAAGAGATATAACAAAACTATACAGCTCTTTTTATTGGCCTGTTTTTTTTTTTATACCAAAGTCATAAACTCAGACCAGACTGCTGAGAGAGAGCAGACATCTACCAACCAATCATGTGTCTCAGAGGAGCAGCGCAAACCGATAATCAGTTTATATCATAACGACTTCCATGATTCAGGGGAGTCCTTTTAATAATCGGAAGAAACTCTTCCTTAATTTGCCCAGTTAGTGATATTAATTAGTAAAAATCAAAGGGAGTTCTGAACTGTATGCCAGTGATGGTGTTTGCTGTGTGTTGAGGCTGCTTTCTGTCTGAATCTGGTTTGCAAAAATAAGTTTTCCTGTGTTTGTTTCCTTTGCAGCGTGAAGCCAGAGGAACATGAGGAGCAAGCACATCCAGGTCAGGAGTTAACCTCAGCGTTCGTCTCCTCCACCTGCCTCCTGTGAGAACTACACTACACAGAATTCCAGTGAACTGACGACCCAGTCTGACAGTTAGATCGGTTTAACAAAGACACTCAGAGGAACAACAGCAACAACACTAACACTGCTGGGAAGAGGACAGACATGGCCAACAACACGGCAGACCACCCTCCGGGGAATTCGGTTGCTGAGGGCAACCATGATGGGGACTTTGGGGTGACCACGATGGAGCTGAGGGACCTGATGGAGCTGAGGAGCGCCGAGGCTGTCAGCAAGATACGGGACACGTTTGGAGACGTGCAGGGCATCTGCCGCCGTCTGAAAACATCACCTATAGAAGGTAAACCATGTCTAACACACTAAATTAATTAAACTGTAATCAAGCTAAATGAACGCAAACTAAACACTGTGTGTCAGTCATAGCCTACTCTCACAACAGTTCAACAGTAATTTCCTGGATAAAGGGTGGATCAGGGATGGGTCTGTAGGGGGAAACCCACTTTAACAGTGACACTGTCCAGTACATGGATATATATCAAGGTTTGATCTATTTAGCAAATTGCAGAATGAGGAGAAAAGGACAACAAAACCCACTGGGACGAGACACATAAAGGTGAGATTTATACTTAGAAGTGTTTCCAAGCATCATGGTCAAAAGACAAAAGACTGTTGTGATGATGTGGCTGGGTTTGCATAGCCTAATGTTATGTGTGTCCAGTTTGTTTACTCCTCTCTGTTAGAGTGCAACACACAGCTGTTTACCGACTGTTTCTTCAACATGCATCCATTTGAACAGGTCTAGGACGATAGCAAAAATACGCAGGCAAAACATTTCAGTGAGGAACTTTACATAAAAGGGAATCGTTCGCAGTGCAAGCTGGCACATATCAAATGCACAGTAACAGCATGCATTGTGGTTAACTGACAAGAGAAGCTTAAACTTGTTGCTAAACTAGGCTATAACCATGTTTTAGAAGAAAAAGACACTTATAAGAGCATAGTTTCAACAGAAATACAAGTGTGCTGCCTGTCTCGTTATTCCAACAAACCCATTTGGCCGCCAGGCATTATATATTGACAGTTTAAATAGGTTGCAGTTTAAATATACATATGCAGTTGTCTTTTATTGATTTTTAAATGCTCAGAAATATGTTCCTGTCATTCTTTTGCATTTAAATACTGATGTTAATGTAGCCGAAATCATCTGTGAAATTCGTGCCAGTTATTTTCTGGCTATATACATATATATATTTAAAAGAAGGAAAGAAAGAAAAAGAATGACTAGTCACACTGAACAGCTGACTGACAAAATCCTTAGTTGGGTACAATCTTACGGTTTATATCCAGGAGTCTTGGCAATGAAATAGAAACCTTGCTCCGTATAACGTAGCATATGCAACCACAGAACTGTTAACTGTTGGCAAATCAGAACAGACTTGGAAAATACTGAACTCGGTGCAGCCCTGCACACGAATCACAAGGTGACAGTGCACGAGAGGTCGTATGACCATTCATACAAACAGACACCACATTTCTGGTCGACTCACTTCTTATTCTGTGGTAGATTTTGACTTTCGTCAGAGCTTCAGGTGAGGCCACAAAATGGCTGTTTGCTATTTCTCTCTTTCTCCGTGTTGTATCCTTGATCCCTGTGTGTGTGTGTGTGTGTGTGTGTGTGTGTTTACAGCATTGGTCCATTCCAGGATTGAAATTAGTTCCAGCCCGTTCCCCTAATGGCTCCATAGATCATTGCACTGTTCCATTTAGTAAGTAGAGTAGACAGCTGTAGTTGAGTTCTCCATACAAGAAATGAGTCACTTTAATGAAGAAAGTGTAATTATATTTTCACTGCAGAGAGGGAGGAAAAAACTGGGGGAAAGACTGAGGGCAAACACACACAGTGATTGACTGCTACAGTTGACTACAGTGTCAGTCCAGTTTCAGTCTAGATGTATTTGCTGTCTGTCTTTTCTTGTCAAAACCATGTCCTACATCCATCTCTCTCTTCCATAAAGCTGGGACAGATTTTTAAAAACTGAAGCAGTAGAGGTCGAGATATGACTTCATTCTGCATTCATTCAATGTCAGCAGAATCGGGAGAACTGGAAAAACACCCGTTATTCCCACTGGACAGTGTTCACACATTATTCCAAGATGTTATCCTAAGTGCTATTCTTGTGGTCACACCAGATAAATGGCCTACATTAGCTACTGTTATGTATTGAACTGTAATAAGTTGTTAATTAATCCATTAGTTGATTGAAATAAAATTAACTGGTAAAAAGCCAAGCATTTGTTGGTTCCAGCTTCTCCAATGTAACGGTCAACTTTTTAAAAAAATGTATTTTTACATTTTATACATAAACATTAATTGATACGAAATGATTTGAAAGAATTAATTAATTGATAATAAAAATAACTTGTTGCAGTCAGTTGAATACAGTAGTTGTACGGTAGCAGTTTGTTGCAGTTGCAGTTAAAACACGTGTGCAAAAAATGGCAAATGTGCCAAAGTGGTGTTTCAAATCAAAAATGTATCAACCACTGGCAGCAAATGCCCCTTGAGCAACTGCTCAATCAGAAATACAACAGCAGAAGAAGAACTGGTGTTATCAGTGCAGCCCATTGACTGTATTTAAATATGGACATTGCATCACCGCTTCCCTTCACTATGCAAAAGTGAAGCCACAGTATAGTGAATACGGCGGCGGCCATCATGGCATTTTGCATCCAGAGTCTGTGCAGTAGCATCCGAGTAGTAGGGTGACGGATCAGGCCACTAATCAAAGCTGTCAGATCATCCAAAATGCACCTGTTTTGATATCATAAAATAACTTACAGTACTAAAAACAACCTTACCAGGAAAATGACCACTTGTACACACATAAGTGTGATGATATCTATCCTGTCTATCCTGGAACCAGTGAAATTGTTTGTGCTACTGCGTAACAACCTGCTGCATCATCGTGAGGTTAACATAATGTTGCTGTTAAATGGTATTGGTACATAGTATAGGACAACTTCTATGAGTAGGACTTATTTTTTAGAAAACGGTGTTTTATAGATGCTTCTTCATTGACCTTCAGCGAATACATTGCATTTCCTGTGGCTGCTTCACAATAAAAGCCACCCCATGGTTTTCCAGTTTAGCTCTTTTATTGCGAGACCATACCAGCAGGACATGGAAGGTTTCCATTAGCAGGGCCTTAACACAGCTGTTTCCTTTAAACCTCATGTGCACGTTAAAGTCTTTTGTAAGTGGTGCAGGAAAGGCAGGCTCCACTGCTAACTTTTTCCCAAAGAGACCAAATACACTGGATGGCTGTTGTTAAAATGTTGACTATAGGGCCAAAAGTCAGAACTGAAATAATGAAAATCTGAAGGATTATAAGTGCACGATGAAGAGGCAGAGCACTGCATCTCTGTGACAGAAGGGAAACCTGCATGAAACCTGAGTTCCACACAAAGATTCTGTTTCTCACCTTATTTCTCACATTAATCAGGTCTGTTGTGCTCATGTAAGCAGTCGGTGCCGAACAGAAACTGAGATGAATCATGTTTCTCACATCTGAAAACACAACAGAAAACTTGCTCTACTGTGTGATAGCTGGCTGACTGTTAGCTAACCTGATTACCTCAGTAATAGACAGCATGCTAGCAGTTAGGGGGTCACACAGTTATATTTAACTGTGTTTCTGTATGAGCTCACATGTTCTAGCTGTGATAATGAGATGTTTCTTCTTCAGCTGCTTTTATTTGCAGTAAAATCAGCATGTAATTGGACAACCTGAGCCCAACCTGACCAAACACATACACACAAGCACACGCCCTAAAACAGATGCACGAGGCTCAGCTGCAGCTGTGTATCCCTCTGGTTAATGTGTATTGATGAATCAGTCTGTTGCCCCTCCGGAAGTCATTGATCATTTTCCTCATCATTTTGCAAAATCTGTAGCCCTTTTCAGACATCCACTGGAACTCTGAAATTCTCTAGATATTATCCAGGAGAGCTGGATGTCAGAATGTGAATGTTCGAGTCAGCTGACCTGGACCTTAAGCAGACTTTACTCTGCCAGCTCCCTAGTACATACACCTCGTAAAGTCCGAGGCAGCTGGAGTTGAGCCCATGTGAGCATACAGCAGCTTATAGTCCACAGTATTCACTTGGAGCTGTTGGGCTTGTTGATGACATTCTATCATGTGACCGGCGCGCAAACGGAAGAACACAAACATCTGATGGTGAAATTAAACGGTCATTTACAGTGAAGACGTCAACTAAAATACCTAACTGGACACGCAACGTGATTCAGGAACTTCTGTTGTTAAGAGCCGGAGCCAGAATCGTCAGACAAAGCAAGACACTGTTGTTTATGACTAAATTACAAACCGGCTACCTGACCTCATCATATCCCACCTCCTGTGCACTCTACCTGGGCACGCCCCTCCTTGGATAAATCAATCAGAGTATTTCCAGTCGGTGAGAACACATCTGACACAGACAGTCTCCATGTTGTGTGCTACATGTGTGAAAGGGCAACTTGTGAAAAAGTCTGGGCCTGATTTTCAGACATGGCCCAGAGTTCTTCTGTGAAAACGGCTTGTGTTTCATGTTGAGAGGACAGGCAGCCTCTGAGCATGAGTCACACGCATCCAGATGTAAACTTGATTTAAATAGAACTCTGGTAACGAAGAGCTTCACAGAGAGACGCATATAGAGGTAAAAATAAATAACTATTTTAGAAAAATGCTAATGAACAGTAGCGTGTTCTGTCACTGCTCAGGAGATGATTTCTTTGTGTCTCTGTAGCTTTTATTCCTTCAAAGAAGTTAGTCTGTTCAAAAACATCCACAAACTCAGCTGAAACTAAAAATGGCTTTAAACAGTCACTGCTGGAGTTGTCAGCTGATTAGAGGATGTTCAGATTTATACAGATTTAAACCACCAGCAGTGTTAGCATGTACTGGTGTGGTCAGACAAAACTGACTGGACAGATCAAGTTTCTGTTTTGGCTAAAACTGACTGACAGTTTTCATTAGCTATTATATATTTACATTAATCAATAAATAGTCCAGTGATTCTCAACCAGAGGTTCTTTCTGTTATCAGGAGGTATGTGGAAAGATTGTGGATTAGCTCAGTTTATTTGAGAAAACAGAGACATTCGTATCCACATATCTGTGCTTTGGAAGACACAAATAGGACTACAGATTGTACAAGCCTGGTCTGCAGTTCATTTCTCACAATAGCTGACAGTCTAGCAGCCACAGCAGGTTGACTGCACAGGACATGGCTCCAGTTATATCACAACCTGCAGCGAAGTGCGAAAGCTACAGTAGTCAG